CCCCCCCCTTTTCTTTACAGAGAATTAGCGTGAACCACAACCCAACAAAACCCAGTGGTAGCTACGCCCAAGATAAAGGGTGGAAACCCCAACGTTAGAGAAATTAAGCCTCTTCCCACCCAAAGAGGGTGGGTAAAAATAGAGGGATCTGAAGACGGGTGGCGTTTGGCTCCACGCACTTCCGAAAACGTTTATTTTCTGAGCTAAACCCAGAGAGGAAGATGTTTACGGAGGAGGCAGGGCCCGACCTGCAGACGCCTTGCCTCTAGTTTAAGTCAACAGGCAAAAGCTATTTCCCGCCCAGTCCCCGCCTCGGTGTACCCGCCCCCCCCCATATAAATGGGGCTGATACTTTCGGAAACTTATTTAAAATTGATGAGGGAAACAAGCATAATACACAAGCTCTTGATTCGGAGCCGTTTCTGATCAAGGCACAAAATGTGCGTATTTCCATTTTTCCCTTTGTCCTTGGTTAGAATATGGTCATGTTTTAGGAGCAGTTGTCTGGGTGGCTTGTCTCCCAGCAGCTCCGGGAAGCGGCGTCAGGCCCCTTTGTGAGCTGCGGAGGCGGCACCCAGACCCGTGTCCCACGGCCCCAGGCGCGGCCCAGCTACCTGTGCCCGGGTTCCCCCTCCTCCTGGGGCCCTGAGGGCTTGGGTGAGACCGGAGGAGAAGGCGTGGGCGAGGGGCGGGGGAATGCAGGGCCCTGGACGGCGAGCGGGGGCGGCTCACACGCGTGATGACAGGCGGCCGTGAAACCTTCAGGCAGCATTTTGTTCAAGGCTGTGTAACAATCCGATTTCACTGACATACCCCCAAGCAGAATAGAAATAATTGCAAACACTTGCCCAGCTGGTGTGGCTCAGCGGTTGAGCATCACCAAGAGGTCACGGGTTCGAATCTCAGGGNCAGGCACCAAGAGGTCACGGGTTCGAATCTCAGGGAGCGCAGGAGGCCGCCCGTCCATGTTTCTCGCTCATCGCTGATGTTTGTCTCTCTCTCTCCCCCCTTCCTCTCTCTCTGAAATCAATAAAAAACACTTAAAAATAATTACCAAACACTAAAAACTGCCAATAGCCAGAGGGATGGAAATTCTGTGGGGAGACTGTCACCAGGCCGAGCATCATCTTATCAACTGCGGCTGATCACGTACGACCACGATTTTTGTTGCTGTCATTTGGCTTTTTCTCGTTCATTCTGACTCATTTCGGAGAATTGGCTCTTTGGTTTCCATGTTGCCAGAGAAGCAGTTATTTTGTAACTATTTCGCAACTAAGAACACTACGTCGTATCGATTTTTAAAGTGCGCTGAATTTTAAGTAGCACTTTGAGCGGCTGGAGATCAGCCCTGGAATGTGCTCAGCCAACAGCGGTTCTCTGACTGTCCCTCGTTTCTAGTCCCCTCCGCCCCCTAATTGCCCGTCCTGGGGGGAGATCCTCGGGCACTGCAGTATTGTGTCACCGCGGATGGAAAACATGCTTACACGCTAAAATATTTATGACCTGGTCCACCTGCATTATCAGCTCCTGGAGACGTCGTGGTGAGCAAGCGCCGTCCCTCCGGGCGAGGCGCGGGTGCCGGGCGTGTGGCTCGGCTGACAGCTGTGCCCGGCCGCCCCCAGCTCCCCCAGCGCTCCTCGCCCTTGGCAAAGAGCTTTGCCCGGGAACAATAACACCCATTGTTGGAAAACAGCTCCACGTACCTGGTTGGGCCGTTTGCATGTTTCTCGGCAGCCACCCGGATGCAGGTAGCTGTGGGCAGAGCTTGCAGCCTCCCAGCCTCCCCGGCTTTGAACAAAAGTGGTTTGTTTCAGGCCTTTCTATTGGGCAGGTTCCTGGAGGGTATTTTGAGGGAGATTGGGGAAAGAGGTGTTTTTTTTATTTTGTCTTTTTTTTTTTTTTTTTTTTTTTAGTAACAAGAAATCATGAATTAATTTACCCCACACAAAGCCTGAAATAAGGGGAAGAGCCTTTGGGGACCGTGTCTGGCAGGTGCGGGCAGCCAGGAGGGAGAAGGTGTCCTCCAGGTGCTTGACTTTGCTGTTGCATTTGGGGCGCAGAGCAAGGCCTGTCTGCCCGCATCGTGGCCAGTCCTCCCGCCTGGAGCTGGGTCCCCAGCACCCAAACCCGCATTCACAGTAGCTGCCCGGGGTGGGGGCCTGGTAGTGCTGCATGTTTACTGCCCAAGGGTTTCTCTTTCATTTCTGTCTGGTCACAGACCATTTGAAAGCCCTTTCAGAGGCCCAGGCCAGGAAGCTCAGTTGGTTAGAGCATAATCCGAAGGCACCAAGGTTGCGGGTTCGATCCCCAGTCAGGGCACATACAAGAATCAACCAGTGAATGCAGAAATAAGTGGAACAACAGATCGATGTTTCTTCCCCTGCCTCTTCCTTCCTCTCTCTAAAAATCAATCAATAAAAATTTTTTAAAAAAGGAAAGCCCTTCCCGAAATGATGGCCCACCCAAATTTCCATCCGCAAAGTCACATCCCTTTCTGACACTGCCGAGCCCGGCATCGTCGCCGTGGGGAACGTGCCTGTTGGGTAGACTGTTATCTACACCACACTCGGTGCCAGTGGCTTTATTTGGGGTGTTTGGACATATTTGCATTTTCGCTTAGCAAAGCATCTCCCGGAGCTGTGACTCCAAGCTGTGAATTCACTAGGAAGCAGGCCTTGGGATGCTGGCACGGCGTCGGGCACACCGCAGGCTCCGCGTGAGTGTCTCTGGGCTGTTTGTCTGTGGGACACACGTACTCGTATTAACCGATGGCACGTTAATAAAATGATAGCAAGTTAACAGCTGTAGGTGCTTTTGCAATGCAAGTGCTAACACGGTAAAAACAGGCTCCGTTCAACTTCTGTTCCGTTGCCTCCTGCGTAACCAGAGACAAACAGCTCCCTTTAAAAATGGGATAATTTCCTAACAGCCCATTGAAACCTACTGCGGAGGTGAATTACAGCGGTTTTCTACCATTCCCCGCCTCACCACCTCCCTCCTTCCATACTCATTTTTTCCCCTTAAATCAGCTTATTTAGCTTAGTTTGTGTTCAACTATAATAACAATAATTGTCTCTGTTAATAGAAATTCTCCTATATCACTCATTCCGGGCCGGGTAACATTTTTACGAGTATCTGGGTATTTATCACTGACAGTCGCTCTCTGTGGTAACATTGTTACTCGTCTGTTTGAAGGAGAGAAGTGGACACACAGTAACAAGCTCGATGGTTCCTGGAGAGGGACCCAGACGGCCTAGTTACAGGGACGGCCCCTTAACTGCTGTTACCTGTTCCAGAGCAGACCCAGTAAACGCACGGTTGGATTGATTTGAGGACGCAGGGAACCCCACACCCTCCAAGCGTACCCCATCTTCACCTGGGTCACTTTGCAGACTCTGCTCAACTTAATTCTACCAACTCTGTCCACCTAGAAAGCAATAGTGTTGCCCGGCTGGTGTGGCTCAGCGGTTGAGCGTCGACCTATGAACCAGGAGGTCACAGTTCGTTTCCCCATCGGGGCACAGGCCTGGATTGCGGGCTCCATCCCCAGTGGGGGGCGTGCAGGAGGCAGCTGATCCATGACTCTCACTGACGTTTCTCTCTCTCTCTCTCTCCCCCTCTTCCTCTCCCTGAAATCAATAAGAACATATTTTTAAAAAAGAGAGATGAAAACGTAATAGTGCTGATTTATTGCCACCTCTTGACTTTGGGATCTAAAACAGAGGGGGGAAAATCCAAACCCCAAACCCTTTCATGCCTCCCCATTTCTGTAAGGAGTGTGGCTGTGATTTCGGGGACCCTCGAACTGAGTAAGAACTTCAGGGAGGCTCTTTCCATTTGGTAACTTGTGACTATGCAGAAGATGAAGACAAGGGCCGGGGAGGACTCACACATCCTCGGGTTACCCGGTTTCCGTGTGATCCAAGAAGACATTTTAGGACCAGTGTGTGAGCAGAAATAGCCACCTCTTTAGGGACTGAGAAAGCCACCCCGAGATAAGAGAGTTATCTCTGAAATCGGAAAACCTCTTTCATGTGTAAATAGGCCGCACCTGGCAGCCGGCCATCCCGGGAAGGTGACTCATCCGGGAGTGAGGATCTGAAACCCTATTTGAACGTAAAAGGAGCTGAGTCACGGAGAATTTGGGATGCTGGGTGGGCTGCAGAGGCCTCGCGTCAGGCCTTGGGAGGTGGGTTGTTGAAATTAGGAACAAACATGACCCAAGGGGCTGAGGGCACTGAGTCCCGCTCTTGGAACCGGCCTGATTTCGGGTGTCGAATAAAATGCAGAAGGACTCACGGACATCACGCGGTTCAACACCATTTTCTGTATTAAGACATTTACAAAAGAAGCGGATCCCAGGGAGACTGAGCAGACAAGGCCTGTCCCCAAGAAAGAGGTGACCACGTGGCGTCTGTCTGCTTCCACATTTGGTGCCGACGCGTGGATTACGTCACAGAGAAACCTGGGGACCGCCTAGTAATTGTGAGATTTCTACTTTTCGAGCTTCTTGATATCAACTGGAAGCCAGGAGCAGCCGGGCGGCCTGGCGACCCCTTTGCTGAAGCGCAGGCCTCGCCTTCAGCGGGCGGCTCGGTAGTTCGCATGTATTTCGGGCTTCACGTCGCAGACCATGTTCAGGACCTGCGCCAACACGCCCTCCACGCGCTGGTGGTAGCCGCCCCTCATGTCCTTGATGGCCTCTAGTGTCTGCCCGTCTATTTCTTCCGAGAGATTGCTCTGCGAGCCCATCACCTGCCGAGACAAAGCAGAGTTCACTGCACCGCACGGGGAGCTCACCCCCTGCCAGAACGAAGCAGAACCTACACGGCGTGTGAAACCCGAATGCTCTTCCAAGTTGAATTTGCTTTGGCCTGTCTCTCTATGACGGGTCCGGGGTGTTTTCCCAGAATTTTCTCTGAGAATGGGTAAGGCCACCAGGGTCATGAGTGGGATGGAGAAACTTTTCTTAAAAAAAGGAACTGTCGCCCGGCCGGCGTCGTTCAGCGTCCACCTAGGACCCAGGAGATTTTGGTTCAATTCCCGGTCAGGGCCCAGGCCCGGGTTGCGGGCTCGATGCCCAGCAGGGGGCGCGCAGGAGGCAGCCGGTCAGTGACTCTCTCGTCATTGATGTTTCGCTCTCTCTTCCACTCCCTTCCCCTCTCTGAGATCAATAATGATATATTAAAAAAAAAAAAAAAAAGATTTAGTTTGACGTCCGGCCCTGGTTGGATTGGATCCGCCCCATCCGGCGCGTTTTCTGCGCTGCAGCTCGTGACTGTCTGTCTCGAGGTCCACGCGGCGGGCAGCTCCGAGCCGACCTCCTCCCTCACCTTCGCCTGTTTCGTCCGGAACTCCCTGTCCCTCTGCAGCCGGTACTGGTCGATCTCCACCATGGCCTCGTCCTTGGCTTGCTTAATGCGTTTCGTTTTCCCTGAAAACCAGCAGTGGCATTAAAGGAATTATATTTCTTTGTCACATACATGGCACTTCAGGCTTGATTTCTAAACACACAAGGCGAGGTCTGCATGATATTATTATTATTTTGTGGTTGTTAATCCCCACATAAGGCTGTTTTTCCCACTGATCGATAGAGACAAAGGGAGGGAGAGAGAGAGAGAAACATCGATGTGAGAGACACGCCTCGACTGGTTGCCTCCCGCACCCGCCCTGACTGGGGCTGGGGGTCGAACCCGCAACCCAGGTACCTGCCCTTGACCGAGATCGAACCTGCAACCCTTCGGTGAGCAGGCCACCGCTCCAGCCAGGGCAGGTCTACTTTTTCATGACTGTCCCCTAGAACGGCCAACTTCACCAAAATAACAATATTGAAAAACTTAATCCCCCCCCCCCC